TCTAGCTGTGGCTGCCCCCGACCCCTTCATTGTGCTACTGAGCAGCCCTAATATGCTGGTGCCCTGCCTATCCATTGCCCCTCACTCCCAATTCAGCCACCCCCCAGTCCAGTTGGTACCCCTCATTCCCCACCCACAGCCCCCTGGCCCCTGCTGGTGCCCCTCACTCCGCACCTACAGCCCCTCACCCCCCAGCCATGCCAGAGGGGCCCCCAGCTGCCAGGCCTATGGGGTCAGGGACCTGGGTCCGCAGTCTCCTCTTCAACCCAGCAGCACCCCAAGCCCTGTCTGCTGCCTGTGGGATGTGGCGGCTGCTGCAGTGGTGTTGAGCGCTGAGCCCAGCTCCCCCTCCCCCATGGGCAGCATGACTGGACTGGAGCCCATGGCGGGGGAGGCAGGCTACCTGCTGCAGGCTCAGGGCTTCCTGCCCTGCTGCCCTCCCCTGAGGGCCTCTGTGGTGCAGTGATTGGGACCCGGTGCAGCAAGGCAGAGAAGCTCGTTGCTGCTGCTGCAAGCCCCAAACTCCATGACGAGGTGCCCCCTTCCCACCCAGCAGCAACAAGAAACACCAGCCTGTGCCACCAACCCTGCTGCTGCTGGGTGGGCAGGGGGTGCTTCGCTACAGCTGAATGGGGTTTGTGGCAGCAGCACTGAGCTTCCCTGCTCTGCTGTGCCAGGTCCTACCTGCTGAGCTGTGGAGGCCCCAGAGGGAGGGCAGCAGGGTGGGGAGCCCAAGCCCACAGCCTGGCCCCACCTGTGCCCCCCATGACTCCCTGGGAGTGTGTGAGCCAACCCTGCCAACCCCCTCTGCCAGCCACCTGTGGATCCGTCCCTCTCCCTCCCAGGCCCCACAGCTGCTCATTCTGGCCTCCCGCCCCAGCCCATGCACTGCCCCGGCTGGGCCTTCCCCTGCTCTCCCAGCCCCTTGCAGGCTGGCCCTCTGCCAGTCTGCAAGGGGAAACCCAGAGTTTCCCATGTGTTTCTGCTTTAAAGTAGAAAAATCCATGCTCTTCTGTGTAAAATGAGAAAATCTGTGTTTTCCCACAGCAAACAGAAAACCCAGATCCCTGGTCATCAGCCCTGCCGAAAAGCCTGGGCCAGCAGTTCCCAAACTGGGGGTCACAACATCAGCCAATGGGGGCGTGGGGCCGCAGCTGGGAACGAGGGGCCATGCTGAGGAGAAGTTTGGGGAGCAGAGGCCTAGGCATGCAAGCTTTAAAGCGTGTCTGTTGCTACCAGAGTACTAACTAGCACACCCGCGGCAGCCAGGTGCTTTGAATTTGGGAAACGCACTGGATTTTAACGTTACTCAGCCGCTCCGCGGCGCACAGGCGCGCGCACCCCGGCGCGCCACAGGCCTGCGCGCCACAGCCACGTCTGCGGTCCCGGTGCTCACAAAGCCTGGCGGGGGCGGGCGCCTCGCCGTCCCAGCGAGATTGAACTGGAGGGCGAGAGATGTTTTCTTGGGCAGGATGCTCAGCCGCCTTTAGTCGCCAGGCGCTTTGCTTTGCGTTGCTTTGCTGGGGAAGCCCCGCGGGAGCTGTGGCGCGTCCCGGCCGAGCCCGCTCGTTTCTCATCATGCTTCTTCCTCACGGGCGGGCTGATGCCGGGCACCAGCCGCCTCCCCGCTCCTGGCAGCCCGGCGCTCGCGGGAGGCGCCTTTATCCTCCGGCCCGGGCTCTTGTCCCTCTGAGGCGCCGGTGCAGTGCGGCGCGCATCCCGCTAGCCGGCTCCACCTGCACGTGTGTCCGCGGCCTGCCTCCGAGCGCGCGGCAGGGCAGGGCAGGGCAGGGCAGCGCCGGGAGGGCCCGGGCGGGACCCGCCCGTACACACGCATGCGGGGGAGCTGCCCCAGCTCCGCAGGGGCCCGGCCCAGGCTGCGCCACGTGCTTGGTGCGGCGCCCCCGGCTCCGTCCCGAGCCTCCCACAGCTCGGCGCCCGCCCCGCCTGCGCTCCCATTGGCCGCGGCGCTCCCAGCCCCTCTTTGGGACAAGTTGGGGCGCCCCGTGTCGCTCCTCCCATCTCCCTCGGTGGGGCTGGGACCCGGGCCGGCCCCTCCCGAGCCCTGTGCCCACAGCTGTCGCAGCTGCTTCCAGCACACTCCGCTCCTCTCTGCTCGGGGCAGGTCCCAGCGCTGGGGCCGCTCTAGCTTGCACAGCCCGGCCAGCTCCTTCACTCTGTTTTTGTGCTTGTCTTTCCAGTTGCCTGGCTTGCCAGAAGAAGGGGCTGACATGGTGGCTACTTGCTTGCACCTAGTTGGATTTGCCTGTAGCTTTGTCGGCTGGATCGGCCTGATCGTGGCCACCGCCACCAACGACTGGGTAGTGACTTGTGGCTACACCATTACTACCTGCAGGAAAATGGACGAACTGGGATCCAAAGGGCTGTGGGCAGACTGTGTCATGGCAACAGGGCTCTATCACTGCAAGCCACTAGTGGACATCCTCATATTACCAGGTACGGGTTCTCCACCTTCACCCATCCAGGCAGGGTTGCCCCTTAAAAGGGCTGGTGCTGCTTCAGTGTGCAACCACAGCAAAACTGCCATGGACTTCATCAGTGCAAGATCTGTCCCACTCAACACAGGAGGGGATTTTGAGTGATATCTTCTAACTTGATTCTAATCTGTAGCTAATATTAAAGATCTGCTGTATCTAACACTCTTATCTAACCCTTCGTTGTATCTCAAGCCTGATTCTGCCTCATTACACTGCTGAAGATTCAGCTTTTCTTCTTGTCTGCTACCTGGCACATTATTGCTTTCCTTCTCCTGGCTCTTGCTACTTCAGTAAGTGTAATGCAATATAGTAAGATATAGTGTAGAGTTAAAAATTGTAGTTATCCCATTTAGTTTTTACTTCAAATAATAATAAAGCTGTACCAAACCAGATATTGAAGCTGTATTGTATCAACTGGAATATGCTAATGAGTTTAATCTTTAATATTATATCATTAAAGATGCAGTGGATTTTTATTGCTTCAGAAGACCATTAATCTTCTGATGTTTTCTGTTCTTAAACCTGTACAGTATAGAACTTTTAAACATATGGTTAATCATACTTGAAGTCATATATCTATGCCAGTTTGCTATGGTTAATTACTCTTGGTATACACTACTTACATCATCATTTGATAAAGTCCTTTCACACCAAAGTTCAAGTTAAACACGATGTGTCATGATTTGACTCTATTGTCTTGGGCTAACTAACCAACCTCTGGAGCTGCCGTGCAGATTCTTTGTACGATCTGCATGTCTGTTAAGAGCTCGCCTAGCTGATAGCTTTTCCCATTTGCATCACTATCAGTTCTGTAACCCTTCTTGTTGTGCAGCATCTTGGACTGCAGCTCTTCTCAGATCCCTCCTCCCTACAGTTCTGCTGGGGAGCGGGGGAGTATGCCTGCTATTTTTAGCTCATGAAGGATTTTTTCTGTTATTTATCATCTTACTTTTTAGAAGGTAGTCAGAAGTCCCATTCAGTGAAAGCAGAAATGCCCTACTTTTGTTTGATATAGTGCCACTAATCATCATTATGGAGCACATAATTCTGTCACAGGTTTTCTTTGACTCTTCATCATTAGTGTATATAATTAGACCCTGCTCATATCCTTCTTCTTTTCCAGTGCCTTCCTTGTTTATTTTGAGTTTAGTGCCAACAATATCCTTGCTGCAGTAGAGAAGACAAAAAAAACCCTTCCTCAAGAAACTGTACCATAAAACTTTTAAAGAATTGATAATTAGATTGTTTAGCAACAGAAAACAATGTTCTTCCTCAACAAAAATAGAACACAGAGCGAGATGCTTCTTAGTGTAACTCCTTTAATACCAGCATATGCACAACAGAGAAGATACCATCTTAATTCATCTAGCAGCTGAAATCCATGTGGCACCTTTCACTGAATGAGTTGAAAGGATTTAAAGTGAAGGTGCTTGTATATTTGTGCAATTGGGATCAAGTATTCAAAACTCATGCAGGGTTTTTCAGTCTCATTTGCAAAAAGGACTTTTCTACTTTTGCTATGCACTTTTTAAAGCAATTGTTTTCTTTAAAGGTGCCTCTTGAAAAAGCAAGGAAACATTTCAATTGTACAAAGAATGTACACCTCCAGGAAGCCAAACCCTGCTTCTCTCCCCTGCATGATAATTAGTGGTTTGATGCAAGCCATGATTTGTGGGTATATCTGCAGTATCAACAAACTTTCTGAACTCGTGAATGGACAGACATCCATCTCATCTGGCAGTGGTCATATTTCCTTCCATTAGCAGAATGGGAATGAGAGCTAGGACTAAGTGTATTTCCCCTAGAATGACCCCTTCCCATTTAGACAGCAAGGAGAGCAGGCGGGAGGTTCCCCGCTAGCAGGGACAAACCTCAGACACACTGTTTCCCTTTTCACAAATACATTTGTTAGTGCTGATATGTGATAGATTCAATGGATTATTTGGTGGTAATATAGATGCCTGGCCTTTCTCAGTCAAAGGGATCATATTATGTGCTCCTGTTTCACAGGGGACAGGAAACTCAGTGGAGGATGTGGTTTACACCCTTGCCAAAGGGCAACAGGTTCAGCCCAGTAAAGCCCAGGGGTCCTGTGGAATTCCTGTTCACAACACTGGTAGCTTCCTCTTGATTTTTTTCCTCTAGCTTTTGGGCAGTGCATCTCCATGCCAAAGCCTCTGGAACTTCCCCACAGGGGTGTACATCTGGGAGATGCGTGTGTGAGTTTTTACGGCAATGGAATTTTAAATAAGGCAGACCAGTACAGAACTGCCCACTGAAAGGCTCTGGGTTTAATGGGAGTCATTCCCAGGCCTGCCTGCCCTCCTGTGGAAGCCCAGTCCCCCCAGAGAGGAGCTCCAGTGGGGTTGAAACCAATGGGAAGGTGATTCACTGGTGAAGGGTGCTGGTGGCTGGGAAACACTCTCTCTAATGGTATAAAACTTAGAGCAGAAGACACATTCACCTCAGAATCGCCAATAGCTTAGGGATCAGGGCACTTGCCTGGGATATGGGACTTGCACCTGGGTGTGCCATGCCTCAGATGAGTGCCCACACCACTGGGGAAGGCAGTCGTCTGTTTAGCTTCTCCAATGAATATTTAATTATATAGATGAAGAATATCAGCTTCAACTGGAGTATGTGATGTGTTAACCTGGTGGTTAGGGCACTCATCTGAGATGTGCATATCAGGCAGAGCAGGGACTTAACACAGGGCTGTCGTGTGCTAGAGGACTGCACAGCTCTAGTTAGGAGCCAGTGGTGAGTAGCTGGTTATACCAGAGTATTTGGCTAAAGTTCACCTCATGCTGAATACTAAAGACTGAGCTTCTCTTTCTCAACAGGCTATGTCCAGGCGTGTCGAGCACTGATGATTGCTGCCTCAGTTCTGGGGATCCCAGCAATCTTCTTGCTGGTTACTGTTCTGCCCTGCATACGGATGGGCCATGAGCCAGGAGCTGCCAAGTACCGTCGTTCCCAGCTGGGAGGAATCCTGATCATTCTCTTGGGTAAGGCATGCATCCAACTCCATGCAGACTACGTTGCTGGAATGAGATGCTCTCACTAGGTTTAAGGACAAGCCGAATAGGTGGGAAATGACCCGATTGCAGAAAACATGGCTGTCTGCGGTTGGCCATAGTCTGCTGGAGAAAACACATGCATAAACATGAGGAGAGAACAAATAAAGGGAGCAGTGAGGGATGGGGGAAGGACCTCTAAGCCCTACTGTGCATTGTCTTATGGAGTTCTCTGGCAGCTTGCCTCAAGAAAAGCCACCAGCATGTGTCTACCGTAGAGTGCTCAGTAGCAGCATGCACGCAGAGCTGCCCCTTGGATGATTGGTTTTGCTCACTAGCCCCGTTTTCAGAGGTGGGGGGGAGATGGACTGGATTCCCATTTGCCCAAAGTTTCTTAGGGTCAGGGAATAGCCCACAAATTTTCTTTGGTATCTTCCTATCCTGATACCCATGGAGGCATCAGGGGGTGGGGGAAGGAAGACTGAGAATGTACAAGCCATGTGAACCCTTGGACCCAAGGGATGGGTGTCGGTATCAGGACATGAGATAAAGCGGGGGGAGGTCATACCCTCTGCAGTTCTCTGCTGTGCAGCCTATTAGCTGGGACTTTCTGAGCTACTCCTGACATTTCTTCTCTTTCTGTGTCACTGAGGGGAGATTGTTATGAGCAGAACGGGACTGTGGAGCTCATTGTCCCAAGTGTGGCACCTGCACATTCTTGAGGCCTCGTCATCTCGACAACAGGCCCTGGTGTCTTGTTTTTTATCAGCCTGTTTAGCAGAGGAGGAGGGGCAAGGAAGAGTGGCCTCTTTGTGCAGCTTTGCTTGGTCATTGGCAGCCGGCGATGACATCATGCTGCGTGGGTTTTTTTTTTTTTCAGTGGGCACTGGAGGTAGTTGCCACAGCAGAAATAGTCAGCACTTAGGCTGGGTAACTGCTGAGCTGCTGCAGCCTATGCCAGCGTTGGGGTGAGGAGCCCAGAGGCAAGGCAGCAAAGGGCCGGTGCATCCAGCACAGCAGGTGTCTGGTCCCACTGTCGAGTTGGGCATTTGCCTTTCAGTGTCTTCTGCATTGGAGGCATAAGAGAGCAGATCAGTGCCCAGGGCAGCAGAAGTACATGGGGGAGCTGCAGCTGATATGGCCAGCCAGCAGCAGGTATAACCATAATTTCTGCACCCTCTCCAAATTGGTGTCCAGGGCTGCTGCCCTAGCCACCCCTCCTTAGTAAGGCTACTGTTGCTTATCTTCTCAGGAGGTCATCAATTAAAAAAGAAGCACATGGTTTGATCTTTTGCAAGGGCTGGAGACTGAAGTCATCAGAATAGGCTAGTGGCAGGGCAAGCTCCCTTCTTCCCTACCCAGCCCAGTGGTGGAGTCACCTTCATGGTAGATTGAGGCTCCTTGTCCACTCAGTGCTTCAGTACTAAGTCTGGGCATTGAATTATCTGTATCAAGTCTGATGGTGGGTTTTTTTCCTTTGCTATGTGGATACTGATCCATTAGGACCCAGACTTAGAACCCAAATTCATTTCAGTTAGGCCACTGATCAGTCAGCAACTGTCTTCACTCACTGATACAGTGCCTACGCTAATGGGACTTAAAGCAGTGCTTGTATTTTAAAGGACACTGTCACAGCTGGCAGTCCTAAGTCAGACTTAAAGGCCCCATTTAGGACTGAGGATTTGCCATGGTGTCTTTGCTTCCAACAGTTAAATTATAGGGCTGTGATAACATGTGAATTCACTTCTGACCGCAGACCATCCAAAGCCTGAAGCAGTTTAGCCAGGCTTGGCAGAGAGGGAGCTCACTTGGGGAGGGATGGGAGGAGAAATAAACCTTGTTCATATGTCCACTTTGGGGAGCGGTGATTGGTACATCTAAACAGTGATGAAACAATTAGCCCTACCATAAATTGGGTCTGGGAGGATCTGCATGGAGTGGGGCTTTGTGGTCAATAGATGTGACTCTTTGATTAAGCCGCAGAAATCCTCCATTGTGTTGTATCTCTGTAGCTGTAGCTGAATTCAGTGTGCATTGCCTGTAATTCTTTCCCTTTTGAGACTTCAGTCAATTCCTCATTATGCAGGCAGAACTTATCCCTTCTGAGTAGCTAATGGCAGCTGCCTGCGGCGATAGGATTTCAGTGGAATAACAGGACACACAAATAGGTAACAAAACTGCAGTGACACGTGTCAGCCTGAAATGCAGTGAACTGACACGATTTACCAAGGCCCTTCAGTGCTGGCCCATGTACCTCTTGGACCCAGAGCCCACTCATTTACACCAGCTGTACATTGGTGTAATTCCACTGACAAGAACAGATTTGATCTTGGTTCAACCCAGTGTAAGTGAAGAGAGAATTAATCTCCCTGAGTGCGTAGAAAGCTCCCTGAGTGCACGGCCGGAGAAGCATGCCTCCCACCAAACTGGTGAACCCTCTGAACACTAAAGAGATATTGGCAGGCTAATTAATCATGTGCGCCTGATTCTCATCTCTCAGTGACTTTAAGTTAAATCCTGCATACATGAGATCTGAATCGGTTCCGCTCTTTGCTCAGTTCTGCAAAGTGCTGAGATCCCTTGTCCATGGGAGTGGGGATGCTTAGCAGGGGTAAGTCTTGGAGAGTCTAGAAATATTTTGGGCATTGTATAAGTAATAGCTGGATATATTGTGTGGTGCTGGCAGCAGCAGCATCACTTCTTAAAACTCAATTCACCAGCTTTCAACTACTAGTGCTGCTTGCCGTTGTTGCCTTGGCCCTTACCTAGTGCCTTTTAAGTACTGCTGATGCTGTGTAGTTCCTCTCTGTCTCAACAATGAAAGTCAGTTTTGGACTGTCTGGTTCTCCTGTGATATTTTTAAACAAGAAAACTGTTTCAGTTGGATTCCACAGTAATCAACGTGCCTCTAATGCTCTTGAATGTCTTTAGAAAAGCCTATATTTTCAAGGCCAAGCTTGGTGAGATGGCAACCCTGAAATATGAATGTTGTACAGCAGCATGTGAGTTGGGTGTTGCTACACCCTATTAATGATCTGAAAGATGAAAAATACAGTTTTACCATTCTGGCAATTGAAAGTCAGGCCCCCAAATCATTAGGTAGATTGGCTTAAGCAGAACAGATTTTTAAAATTAATAAGTAACAGATTATGATTCTTAACCTTCTGGTCATTGAAACCTCTCTGGTTCATCTCTTCAAGATTTCCTTCACAACCAGTCTTAAACTGCTGCTGAGAATTTCATCTAAATGCATGATTCCCAGAGCACGGGTTTTATGGGTGGAGACTGAAATTGAGATCATGAGTGGGCAAGGCACCGAATATCCCTTTGTGCAGAAGTAATGGACAGAGGTTTAGAACTGGAATTGTTTAGAAAAATAAAGTTTGATACGCAATATGGAATCTAAAATAGCTATTGACAACCTGCCAGGAAAATAATGGGTTCAGATATTCCATTGATTTAATGTCCACTGAAAATAGCAGGCTGCAGTAAGAACAAACGTAAATGTGCACACCCCTCATCACTGCCTGCTGACGTATTTTTTATGTCCTCACTTTAATCCTGTCTATATGAGGAAATTGATTTACAGCTGAAAACAGTTGTCAGGAGTGGTTCCCTCTGAACTGGCTCTGAAAACAATTGAACCGCTAGTGTTGATGGAACAAAAAAACATGCACTAGTAGTTAAAAAACATTGATACTAATTCAGGGGGACCCCTTGCTGATGCCCAGTTGGTCAATTTTATGGTGTAGGTGGAGAATCTTAAATAAATGGTACTGGAAAAAAAATCTGAAAATCTATTGCTCTGATATCAAGACTTAATACTAAAGATCACATTAGCTATTTTATACATTGAATAATGGAAAGTCGGGGAAAGATTCTTTTTTAGCTCAGGCAGTTTTCTCATCACAGGCTATTTTTGGAATCCAAATAGTTTTGAATGTTACAAAGATGCTTTTTCATAATATTATTCCTTCTTGATAGAGTGAAATATTTTATAACAACAGTACAAATATCCCACATGTGGCTGGAACTTAGAAGTGTGTGCCAGTTTTTGGTATAGGGTGCATTTTGGCTGCTAGATTGTCTGCTGTGGGCATATGAGTCAAAGCAGGGATGGATACATCATCCCTGATGTGATACTGATGTGCAAATGCTGTGCTCATGAAAAAGTCCCTGTACTCTTTTAGAGAATCAGACCATAACTACTGAACACTTTAAAGGAAAGCTCCAGATATTTTCCACTTGGAAACGTGGAATAGTTTTATTTTGGTTTAAAAGAAAAGCATTTCCTGGAAAATGAAGGCAAAAGAATTTTTTGTGGAACTGGGAGATACCATTTGGTTAGCAAGAGCAGAAGGAAGATTACAGAAACTCATTCTTCACCAAGCAAATGAGAAGTACAGGAGATTTGTTAAGGCTTTTCTTCAGGGCATTTTCAATGTGGAATGATGCTTTTCCTTAGTTAGCACTCTTTTATTTGATGTACACTGCCTTCCTTCTTCAGCTAATAAGTTTCAAAGACTTACAAAGGAGGCAGATAAGTGAAGACTTACTCCCCTGTGGTCACACAAGTATTGCCTTCTCACCAGCTGCAAAACCGCCCTTTGTGCTCCCTGTTTCTGTGCAGCTGTCACCTAATTAAACCAAATCTGTAATACAGAAAGTGCGCTCAGAGCTGTGGTTTTGGTCGCTGCGGCTTCACGGCAAAACAAGATATTAATAGGACGTTTGAAGCATAGTGGTGAGGTAGTGGCAGTGTAAATTTGTAGAGGAGTGTTGGAATAACTATGAGTACGGTGTATTAATACCTGTTCTCATTTGTGAGCAGCCAGTTCATAGATCATTTATGTTTTAGTTCATAGACCTAGACAATATCAGCATGAAAATAGACTACAAACTGTTCCTAGTTCTCATGGGTCTACGCTGTAGGGAAACCTATTCCAGTATGTCCTGAAACTAGCCCTGCAATGTTTCCTGATATGTAGAGGAAGTTTTCTGTACTGTCTCATTTTCAGGATAAAATCAGAACCCTCTGATTTAAATATTGGAAATTGAAGCATCTCCTAATGGGAGACTTGAATTGAAATGGCCAGGCATGGTATTAAAAAAACTGTGGTGATTCCCTCACTTTCCCTTTGGGGACCAACCTGGTAGTTTGGAACCAGCTGATGATATCCAGCTATGGAGGCAAAACTGAGCCCTAGAGTCTTTGGTTTGCATTGCACAGACTTCCAAATATTGTCGACACTAAAAAGGTGGTTTATACACAATTTAGCTCCATATACAAGAGATGTTATTGTACCACTGTCTCAGAGAGCTCTTCTCAGATCAGATCAAGTGCCTTTTTCTGTCCTGGGTTGTGTGGGGTGGGTGGGAGCTGTGAAAGGATAAGGCTATCATAGACTATGGGCGTAAATATATTTTTTTTCTCACCCAGCGCAGACAGAAAAGAAAAGATGATTGTGGCCTTTGTGGACAACAAAGAAGCTTTTTTTAGTGGCCTCAGAATGTTTTTTTTTCAGATTCTCAGTTGATACATTTATGTTTGAAAACATTTGATGCTTGTCGGCATCCTTGTTTGGAAGGATTTGATCAACACACAGGATAAATTCCTATTTCCCCCCCAGGTTTCCTGCAAAAATCCATTTGGTCTTTTCTTCAGGGGAGGCTCAAGATTATTTCAGGCTTTATTAGCATCCTTTGCATGTTCCTCTCTCATCCATAAGAAAATATTTTCTCTAATAATACCTGCCGCTATTGGGGTTGTGTTCTCTGCTTTATTGGGCAGAGTCTCTGGTTTATTCTCTGCTTATCTAAACAGTTTTATTTTTTCTTTCCTCCGCTTCTTTTTTTCCCTTCTGCAACCTTAACTTTTTGACACGGCCTCAAGATATCTTTAACCGCGGTGGGTGGAAATCTGTAATTCTGCCATAGTCTTGTTATTGTTTTGTTCTGATTCTCTGATAGCCACAAGGACAGAGTCCAGCACAGCTTGCCTCTGCAGGAAATAAATATTGACAGATTAATTCCCCTCAGATGTATGAGCCATAAAGAAGTATTGTTTTAGGGCCCTATCCTTGGAGGTGCTTGGACCCCTCAAGGATTGCTGATGCCTGGGTCAGGTGCTGAAAGCACTTACTGCTTTGAAGGACCAAGATAGGACCTGTAATGAGGGTGCTTATAGTGGAACAGGTTAAGAGTGGAGGGAACCTCACTGCTCACTGCTTTGAGTAACCATGACCACAAATCAGACTGTGTTCTCCACCTTGGGCCCCCGTCAAGTGCAGGCTTGTTTTTAAAACTGCCACTACTGATCTTCACAGTGTCTGTCCTAGCTGTTTCTGAAGCTGTCTTCTTGACCTGAAGACATCTGTGTTCACACAGTCCCTGTATTACAGGGGTCATGCTGTAGGCTGGCCTGCAATTGGTCTTTTCCACCTCTTTATGAAAAAGTTTTATAGAATTTAATTGAAAGATGTATAACTCTTCACTAGGCTTTTTGACCTTGTGGTGGGATTTAAAAGAGAATTGTGTCCCCGTTATGGAGGCTGATGAGATGGTTTATAGATGCCCGTTGGGTTCTAAAGGTTTGTCAAGTAAGTCTTTAGAGCTCTCTTGTCTTTGTCCCCATTCAGTCCCTCTTTCCAGAGGATGGAAGAAGGTGATCCCCACTTGAACCTGCCTGCCCTTTTCTCTTTTTACTTAAAAGCTTAAACCCTTTATTCCAAGCTCTTTTTAATGCAACTTTCCAACTTTCATCTTAACCTCCTCCTTCCTAGCCCCATTTTTGCTCTTTCTCCTCAGCAGCTGAATTCCTCTGGTTGTTAATTTTTGAGGGTGTTTCTCTTTCTACTGATGCTACGTTTGTGTTTTAATGTCTCAATGGATAGGGCACTTCCTCAATGCTTATACCATCAGCTAAGGGGGGGGCCTTTAAAGGAGGAGCATTATAACAACAATAAAAATAGAGAGCAGCCGGATTCTTCTCTGTCACACCGCTGTAACTCTGTTGGCCTCCTTTGAGTTACTTGTGACTGACTTCAGGGGAAGCAAGAAAAGAAATGCAGCCTGCCTACATGCTAATTAGATAGAAGTTATTCAGTCGGTATTGGGTTGCTGGGAGGCATAGAATTGGGAGATGAATTAAGGTTAACAGAGCTATACCTGCTTGCTGAAGGCCTGGGCTGTGGGTCTGACTTCCTCACACGTACTCACTGTGTGAACTGGATGTGAGGTTCCTATGGCCTCCTGTTTAATTCATTCCTGTTTCTGCATACCTCCCAAGCATCTCCTCCAAGGAAGACTGACTTGTATTCCTGACCCCTGATGATACCGCTGAAGAACAAAGCTGTTGCCCTTTAAAATATATCACACTGCATCCAATTTCAGCTGCTTTTATTTCTGTTTTTCAGTGCCAAAGATGATATTTCTACCTACTCTCTCCCACCCTGTTCATTTGTGGATTGGCATGGATTAAAATTGATAAATATCAGTAGGGATCTATCTCCTTTCCTGAACAGGGCTGTAAAGCAAATTGCATTGTTAGTTATCAAAATCTACAGAACGGGAAATATGTAATGACTGGCAGGGGAGCAGTGAGAATCTGGCAACTGATTTTGCTGCTGCTCCATGCTTCCATACGAATGAGAAATCAAGGAATAAAGTATTGTGAAACTTGGTGACCTCCCAATCTGTTATGCATCTTGACAGTCATTGAATGTTACCCAAATAAAAAGTGACCTTCAGAAATGTGCCAGCTGAGAGGCTTGGCCAAGACATGAGGCTGCTACCCTCCAGTTCCCAAAGCAATCCAAGCAGATCTCCCTCGGGTGAGGTCTCTAGTGCCCTCTTGCAAGGTCATTGATTTTCCTGGGAATTAAAGGCATGTGCTGCAGGGCTGGGTCCTTAGGATCTGCCTAGAGGCGCTAAGTATCTTGCAGCTGATTTCACTGGGAGTTGTGTTTGCTCAGGCTGAGGCAGAGGGATCTGCCTCCCCTTTGTGTAATCAGGTTTGTCTGCCTTGTTCTGTGATTAGGCTGGACTTGCATGCTGCAGTGACTGTCCCTTTTAATGTCTCCCCAGCAATGTGTGGCGTCGTTGCGACCATCTGGTTCCCCGTTTGCGCTCACCGTGAGACCACCATCATGAGTTTTGGATACTCCCTTTACACCGGCTGGATTGGGTCTGCCCTCTGCCTCTTTGGGGGCTGTGTCGTTGTTTGTTGCTCAGGAGATGCTCAGTCCTTTGGAGAAAACCGCTTCTACTATGCATCAGGATCTAGTTCTCCAACCCACGCTAAGAGTGCTCATGTATAAGCACCACTGAGACTTCCCAGAGCCATCATCAGATGCTTTTGCAGGTGGGCATATGTATTTGGGTTTGCTCCTCCTGTTGCACACACCACTCTCACGCTCCCAGGGGAAGAGTTAGAAAAACATCATGAGCGTCTGGAATTTTATAGCATTAACTCCCCCGCCCCGTTGCCATGAAAGAAACCTCTAGCAAGCAGAGCAGATAAGTCCTCCTTTATTTTTTTGCTGATTCTCCTACGCTCCTGTGTTCATGACGCTCTTGGATGGTTCCGTGTTATCTGGTGGTGGTTTAGTTACTCTTTATTCCAGCTCACCTGATTATGGGAGTGTTAAAGAAAAGAGACACTTTCTCACTGTTAAGAGAATTCGTGTAACTTCTCAGAATGCATTACCATTGGCTTTTCCCACTCAAGGTCACTTCTTTGGCAAAGATAGGCTGGAAAGGGCACGGAAGAAGGCTCTGTACTTTCCAACCACACACATGTGTCGTTTTCATAAGATTAGCGGGGTTGTTTGCTTTTCTCTGTAAATACTTTGTTAGGCATTTGATCATTTTGAGTAATGTTTTTCCCCAAACTCATCAGTATGAAGGAAACAAAACCCAAAGGCTCTAATTCCAAGATGAATAATAGTGCACATGTACATAGCTTTGAATGACACTGGGGGCTCTAATCCCCGTTATCCATTTTTTTTTTTTTTTTTTTTTTTTT